GCTGAACCAAAGCAGCCCACAGCCCAGAGAGAGGACCTGCTCCAGGTCACTAGTCAGGGATGGAGTCGTATATGATCTGCACCATGGTCTCCTGGCTCTGGGTTTGGAAGTCCGTCCACTCTATATGTCACTTCATCATCATGGACACAGGCAGAGGCTGGGAGAGGGTAGGGGCAGGACTGGAAAGCCCACCCAGGGTGCTTATACCCCAGCGTTCCCTCCCTCTCTCTTTCCCAAAGCCTTGACAAGAGCTTGTGCCCATCACCACAGCTTCGGAAGGCTTCTGCTTTCAAAGAGTTACGAATGAGAAAACATTCCATTTATTGGTTCCAACTTCTAAATGCGTGGATTCCTGCATTGATCTGAACTCCCCAGGAAGAGAAGAGACAGGCCAAGAGACTTTCCCATGGGCAACGCCTTGTTTGTCTGAGAGGACCTGAGCCTCAGGGAAAGTGCTCAGGGACCAACGGTCAGGTAAATGGGGGCCCGGGCCTAAAGCCTTTGTCTGGCTGGATCCAAAGCCATGGTTCCTCCTGAACGTGCTGCGCAAAGTCGTTTAGTCATGAAAATGTGACATTCATTTGTATGTACAGTTTGCTTATAAATAGGTGCTGATTTGGTGGAAATACTGTTCGACATTAATACAGCAAATTCCATATGCATCCATGATGAGACATCATAGTCTGTGGGATCCCAGGCCATGGCTGCCACTGCCCCATTCCAGGAGGGCAGGCACCTACTCTCCTCTCGCAATTCCTGGCACCTATTCTCCTCTCACAGGTATTAGGTCTCAAAAGCTGCTTGAGACATTTCAAGTTAAGCCTCTTGTTTTATAAATGGAAGCACTAAGGCCCAGGAGCAGAAGGTCTTTACTTAAGATGACTGAGGATGGAGGTGACAGAGCCAGGCCTAGATTCCATTTCTCTACATGACCCATTTCCCTCTATTGTCCAGGCCTAGGCCATGGAGTCTGGCCACAGGCAGAGCCAGACACACACATTTATCTTGTGATAAGTGCAAATGCCTGGAAAGGAAAAAAGGATTAGAGAAGCCAATCTACTCTATTCTCTGGACAAATGAAATTGAGATTAATTTGTTTGAAGGCGCCCAGAATCTAAATCAGATGAGAGCAGAATTTATTGAAGCCTGCTGTCTGGGCGTCATTTCACCCAATGGTTCCTCCCCTGTGCAACAGCCTTGGCTGGGCAAGCTGGAGCCTGCAAGGAGGCAGAGACCCAGCCCTCTGCTCAACTCAGAGCCTTGCATGGGCTGTCCCAGAGGGTAAGCCCTGAGAGCAGAATGGGGGCCAAAACAGAGGAGAAGGGCAAGAGCAGAGGACTCAGGGACCTACTTTGAAGTTCCAGATGTCATTTATTTGCCGACAGAGGTTGAGGTTGAGCTCAGCAACCAGCAGTCCCTCTCGGTTTCGGGAGAGCCCAGGAGTGCGGCTACTGTCCGGTGCTGCCACGTAGCTTGAGCCATAGAAGTAGCCAAAGTCATGGTGAGCTTTGAAAGAGTAAAGAGAAACACCATGAGCTTTACAGGCACACAGTGGACTCTGTGGAGGGGCAGGCACATCAAGGGATGCCCAGGACAAAAAATCCACACCACCCACCCAGCATCTGCCAAGCCCTAAAGCCCCAAGGACATACTTCCGTCCTCAGCCCTGACAGCTCAGACAGTTGCTGCAAAAGTCACCCTCACAGCCCTCACCTCTGCCTCTGGGAACATTTCTAAAAGTCACTCTTGTAGAGATGTTTGGTCCTTTGTTCCCAACATCAGCCACATACAGCCTAGGGGAGTCATATGGCTCTGCAGGGCTTCCTATGTGACCTGCTTCCTGTGGTGGCCTCGCGCAGCAAGCTAGAGGCTCTGCCTTCACTCGACTTGCCAGTTGTGTCACCCGTACCCTTGTTCCATGCCTTGGTCTCACCAGTACGGTGGCCACCCTGCAGGCATGTAAGGAGCAGGCCGGCACAGTGCATGGCCTGGCAGAGGACCGGATGTAGCAGGTACCCAGTGAACCTCATTTTCCTGCCTCTTCCACAACTCCGTCTGCAGGGAGCTAACAGGAATTGAAGACCCTGTAAGTCTGGGGTCTAGAGTGGAGGGATATGCGACCCTTTCAGGGAGCGCTTTTCTGGGAAACAGACCCAGGGGACATCCTGAGCTAGCTCAGACCCCTCCTTGGTGAGAAGGAAGTCCCTCCCTCCCATATTCCTGGCCAGAGAGGTAGGACCAGCAGAGGTGAGGTGACACCTGCCCTCAGATCAAAATAAGTTATGGCTTCTAGGATCCCAGCGCAATCCATGCTAGTGATCTAGAGCATTTGTACAACTGAGGGGGGAATGGACAAGGACAAAAGAGAGGAGTAAGTGAGGTCTTTTGGGTGGATGAAGCACCCAGGGAGCTCACAAAGGGCTCCTCCCCCACATCTTCTTGGTCCATCTTCATGCCAAACCCGAGGAAGGATGGAGTCCAATCCAATCCCATTTGATCTCTGTCCAGGGACTGAGGTGGGCACAAGCTCAGGACCGCCTATCCATATCCTGGGCAAAGTCAGGCTCCCACACTGTGGGCAAGAGAGCCGAGAGGAGTCAGTTTCTCTGCCAGATGTGCAGACGTGATCTGTGGGGCAGACCCCGCCCGGAGAAGGCAGATGGGGAAGGGGACAGTGAGGCCCACTCCTTAACTGCAGCCTCCAACACCAAGGAAATTCATGGAACATACCTTTCTTCCCATCTCCGGAGGTAAACTCATTCGGGAAGTGCTCCTATGAAATAAAACCAAGGTGAGATGCACCTATAGGTGGCACTACCTCTACATTCATCACAAAGTCAGGCTGAGGTGGAGTTCGTAAAGATATAAAGTGAGATGGAATGGCCTGTCCTCACTGTCCCTAATGAATCCCTAGCACTGGGCAAAAATGCAGGCCAGGCAGCCTGCCAGGAATTTGACAAGCAAGGTAAAGATCTGGATTTTTTTTTTTTTTCCTTTGGGGAGCTTATAATCTGCTGGGAGAGAAGAAAGGCATTGCAGAGAAGTTTTTAGGGCTATGAAGGCGGTTGGGGTTTGCCTGTTGATGTAACAAAGCCCTAGCCTGGGGTCTGTGAGGGTAGTAAGGGGGTATCCACACACTGTTTTTGGTATTTCCCCCAAAGCTTAATAGAAACTGCGCACCAAGCTATGATGGGGTTACACAAGTTAATTAAAACATCAAGTTCCTTTATGTTGCCAGAAATTAGACCAATTTAGTATAGACACCTTGGTTATCTCAGACGAATCGGATGCTCTGATTAGAGTTTGAAATCTGCTAAATAAGAACGAGGAAGAATATTACGTATTAAATGCATCCTGTTCAGTAGTCAGAATCATTCAGTGCATGGGGTTCACGGGGGAAAATACGAAACCAGACACTTCGTGGTGGCAGAGTAAGAGCCTTTCAAAACAGTTTCAGCTAAAAACAAAAGACAAAAATAGAGAAGGAACATAGTGCTATCTTTAAAAGGAACGGACTAAGCCAGTTTCCTCCCTTCCGGGCCCCTAGGATTTGTGGCACGAAGAGAGGAAACAGGGAGAAGAGAGGTCTGACATGTCATGTCCCCTGCCCCACCTGCCAGCAGACAGCGGACAGCAGCTTCTTTGCTTGTGGCCTTCGCTGATCTGAAGAGGCTAGGCCCCCTCTGGCAGGCAGGTTTCACGGCAGCTTATCGCTCTGTCCCCTTGCCAGCACACCTGGTTGACCAAGTTGAGGAGCCTGGCCAGACCTCGGGGACTTACCTTGCCCACGCGATTGATGGCGCAGGTGAAGCAGTGATTGGCTATGGCTGCGTTCCGGGCCTCAACTGGCCACATGGACTCACTGTGAGAGAAGAACGAAAGGTGCTAAGTTTCTAACTTCCCAGCCAGACTCTATGGATGCTTAGCCCCGAGTTGCAGGGGCCAGCCCCTCCAGGCCTTCAGTGGGGATGGCCGGGGAGACTTTTTATGCCCATAGGTAACCCTTAACCTAGAAGCAGGCCAGCTTTTTCTCAGCTTGTCCCATGCTCCAGCCCATGGAGCCTTCTGCAGGCAGAAGCAGCCCTGGATCAAATCTTCTCCCTGAGCCTCGAGTTTCCTTTTCGGAAACTTTCTCAAAGGGAGATTGTAAAGACTTAACGACCGACCGGGCAGGTGAAGCTTCTAGAGGGGCCTGTGTGGCGGGAGCTCCAGAACTGCTACTTCTCATTCCTTCCCTCCTCAAGGGTCAGTGAGGAACCTGCTTTTCAGGCTGGGCAGTCTTACCTGGAAAATGTCAGAGGGAAGCTGAGGGCCTGGAGGCTCTGCACTGCCCTGCGAAGGCTCTAACTGCCTGCCCCAACCCTACTCTGCTGTGATGCCTTATACAGCAATCTCCACAGGGGGAGATTTCAGGCCAAGCTAACAGGGTAAACCCAGAGGAATTTAGCTAATGGTGGTGACGGTGGGGGGCAGGGGTAGATCCTGTAGCAGGAGTTACCTCCCCTGAGCCAGTCTCCCTTTCCCAGTGCCTTCTCATCTCCATCTCTAAGTAAGGGCTCTGCTTCTCTTAGTAGTATAGGAAAAGAGGCAGCCCCCAGGCACAGCTAAGCTGTGGGCTTTCCTCAGTCCAGCGCCTACACAGGGGAGGACGTGGCAGGAGACTTGGCCCCAATCAGAGACCCTGTCCTTCTCCAGCCCACCAACTAAAATGTGCCATGGAATTCAGTGGGCCTTCTGGTCACTAATTATCTCTTGTCTGAGGAACAGCATCATTAAGATTCTGGATTGACAGATATAATGCCCACTTAGAAACACTGAGTGATTGGGAGCAAAATGCCCTGGAATCTTCCTTCCTGTCAGCATGCACCTGGTTTAAATCGGGGAGTAGGTGGAGGGGGTGGATGCTTGTCACAAGCCCAATTCTCAGGAGGATTCACGTGTCTGGGTGGGGAAAAAAAAAAATCACAGGCTTGATTGAGGGGACTCATTTTGCTGCTTTTTTCTACCAGCTGCTAAGCTGAGCTGACAAAACTTTTAAGAAAGGAGTTTTACAGAAACACACCCATAAATGACATTTTCAAGAATTAAATAGACAGTTGCAGGGCGAGTGCCATAAAACATCTTTCTTGCAATTCTCCAGGGAGGGTGTACTGCGTAGGACTCAAACCTACAGCTGGCAATAAAACTTAGGCTCTCAAAACAAGCGAGGGAAAGGAAGCCGGAGGTTCGTGAGAGCCCAGCGCGTGCTGGGATCACGGAGATCCCAGTGGGGGTGTGGGGACATCTGCCATATTCCCAGTGTGGCTACGCGAGCCCCTAAAAATAATCAGAGTGGGAAGATGAAATGCAGCGAGGGAAAGGGACAGCGGCTTTCGAACTGCATGGCAGACGTCTCCGACCACACGGGCTGCATAGGATTGTCGGGATGAGGTGCTTTTATCGAAAAGCGCTTCAGCTCTATTGTGTGCTTAGGATTGTGAGACCCTAAAACGAGTGAGG